AAGGATTCAAAGTGACTTCAGGAATCCGGAGAGGACTGGGGACTCAAAGAATAAGTAGTCATGATAATCAAACGGTGGTCAATAAAGCCAATGAGCCAGGTCAAAAAACGAGTTATGGTTAGCACTTCTGATTGAAATGGGTTCAACCTCCTCTCAATACATCATTGCCGATATGCATGTCATTTCCATTGAGCAATGTTCATCTTGGGACTAAGCAAAAACTGAGAAAGATACATGGCTACTCTAGAAATTAAACCCTGATGCTGTGCAAAAGACTGCAGAACCGCTATGTCTGCCTCAACAGAGATAGCCTAAGAAGAAATGGAAGAGGTGGTCACTCCAGAATGTATCACAGAAGCAGAAACCAGGGTGTAGCAGCCAATCTGTTTGGAATGAGACAACTGACCTGCTACTGCAGGCATCGCCCATGGAACATGGCAAGCTAGTAAGGTTACAAGATAGGAATGATCCTGAGAATGGAGATCCAAAATTTGAAAACAAGGAGCCCTGGACCAAGTGCCTCCTTGATGAGAAACACAAGACACCACCACGGAATTGTCAGAGTGAAGCCTGACAACTTCTTATGCTCTTGTCCCAAAGACACGAGGGATGCAAGTGATGCCCACATTCCCAGAAAAGAAAGAATCATCCATGCAGTGGAAGAAGGAGAGGTGAGTAACAGTTGGGTGACCTATTCCATAGCATTGAGCCAGATAGGAGACAGCTGAGCCCAACTGAGAGATGAGATGAAAAATAAAAAATACCCAGATTGATGACATATGGAATTAGAGCAAGAATAGAAGTCTCAGCCCTGAAAATGAAGCCTGCCTTGATTGTTTCTGAGAGTAGAATCAGGATGTGATGGTCTGACAACTGACAAGATGGTGCCAGCAGTAACCAGTCATCCATGTAATGGTGTGTGCACAGTGCAATGGAATGGAGGTGATAAGAAAAACTTGTACAATACAGTAGAACCCTTGTGAAGCTGATGCGAGTACAAAGGTAAAAACCCAGAACTGCAGTACCTGACCTTGTGCACAACAAATGCTGATAGTGGTGGGATTCCACCACTATGGCAATGTGCAGATAGGAGCCGACTACAACAAATTTGGACATCTACAATCTCAGTAAAAAAAGTTAACTCAAACTGAGGAGCCTTGGAGAATCTAGGCATTGATATGGATGAGAAAGATCAATGACTGAACACCAATCTCATGTCTGCAGGACCAACAACTGACAAGAATAAATCCTCTGAAGAACTAGCATGACTCTCTCACTATCTACAGACCAAACAAACTCTGACAGCCCTAGAACCAAGTTCCAAATATCAATGACCTGTGGGAGACAAGAACCCTTCAGGTCGGGTGGATAATAGTGGTGAAAATGTGAATTTAATGACTAATCATAACTCAAGAACATGCAGTGCTCCTGGATCCGTGGTTAAGAGTACCACACATCCAGAAATTCTTGGAGCCGACCCCCCACAGACCCTGGAGGTATACAATAATCACCGACGCCACTGGTGATCTTACTGACACGTGGAAACCTTGAATATAAACAATCTATTCTGGGTACCAATGTACTGAGGAGCTGATGTCGGTGTGTAAGGATCCACGAATAGAGGCAGAACTATGACCCCCCTGTAGGAGACAATGAAATTTTGGACTCCAACAACAACAGGGAGGAATGTAGAATCCAAAGATTGAACTAACATGCATGCTAACAATGGATCCAGCTTATCACCAATGAAGATGGTGATCCTGAGAGTCTTCCAATAAAGTAAAGTGAAAGGAAAACAAAATGTTGGACGATAGAGTTGTAAGTCCATAGACTTGTCCTGTCCCATGAGGGGACTATGATATATTCAGATTAACCACAAACTCCACCTCAGAAACCCACAATTCGAGGAGCAGATGTATTATTTGAGAGTCAGAAAATGCTTACACTTGGTGGTAGTAGGCAAAATCACAAAGTTCTGACAACATGTCAAGTAAGGCATAACTGCCCCTTCATGTAACTCAGAAGTACACCTTATTGCATTAACTACAATATCCGTGGATGGAGAGGAAACTAAAAATTTGCTCCCAGATATTTCAGTCATAAAGTAAGGTGCAGGCTCAAAAGAAACTGGGAAAAAGCCCAAAACATCATACTCTTGATGAATCAATAGAAGAAAACAGATCAGAGACAGTTTATCCTAAAGTGGCTTCCCATTTGTTTTTGATAGGTTATTTAAGAACTGTGTTGGTTACCATTGATTGAAACAACATTTTTCAGGTAAATTTGTTGTGACAGAGAAAAGCAATGTTGGGTCATCTGCTGCATCAACCACAAGAAGTCAAACCCTGGACCCCAGGGGTGCGAGTCCATAAGCTCACCACTGTCCCATAGGAGGACTGAAATGCCAACAGACTAAAAGAAGGCACAGGAAAAAGCAAATATAAATTATTTTCAGAATGTTGAGAATCACCCTCAATTAAAGCCTAAGAGTGCCCCAGAACCAAATACATCTCCATCTCACTACGACTAAGATCAATGACCCCCCCCTCCCCAATAGTCATGTGATGCTAGCTATCAGAGGTGGGACTGGAAAGACCCGATTTTCCTCCATGCCAAACATAATAATCCTGGAATTCATACCATAAACCAACTTGCCAATTGGAATAAAAAATTTTTTAATTCGTATTATGAAAATCAACTAGGAAACACAGATAACATTCAAAGTATCTCTGAACATTGTAATACTAGAAAATCCATTAGCAATGCTTTGTCAAGAAAAAGTGATAACATTATCTGAATGGGGTGCTTATATACAGTTCCAGGATAAAGGGTGCACTGATGTAGGCAGATAGTATCATGAGATAAATATTGCCAAGGGCAATTGAGTGTGGTATGAAAGACTGGAGCAAGCAAGAAAAATCAGACCAATGCTTAGTTGGGCAAAGGAAGATACCCTGGCAGTCGAGTAATAGCTATAAGTGATAGAGGAGGTAAGTATGTTTTTAAATTATAATATTTACAATTAAAAATTATTTTTTAAATGTATTAGTGGGCATATAGTACTTTAATATCTTTCTTACTAATTTTATTTTCTAAATGTAACAAGTGAGCAACCACCTTCCTATTTCTGGCTGCAAACAGCAAAAGGTGGTAAAGATGTGGGACATTGTGAGCTTCAGCACACACATCTGCTCCCTTATTTTCCTTTTTTTTTGAAGGATGCTGAGGCGAGTGGATTTGATGTTAAATCAGATAGATTTATCTGGTACCTCATAAATCTGGAGCACATTACATAATGATCCACATCATGATTTGTGTTCTAGTGTTGAATGTTAGTTTTGTGGCTACATTTTTTCTTCTCCACAAAATTGAATCTAACTATATATATACACAACAGTTTAAAGGTTTTTTGTTAATTTTTATTCATGTTATATATATTATTTCTAGAGCTGCCAGTCAAGCTTTACTGGGCTCCTACTTTCAATAAAAGCAATGTAACAATATTGTTATGTTCTTTAAACTATATTCTGCTGTACCGTACATCGGCCTTGCCGTAACAGCAGCACTATGGGCAATGTGCAGATTAGGAGCCGACTACAACAAACTTTTG